AGTATAAAATCAAAAGTATGATGAATAAAACGTTATTAATGTACGCGTTTGAGTATAATTATTTCGCGGCGACGTTATGGACATTAGAATTCATGAAGAAAGATTCGGAATATTTATGCGCTAGATCCCGCATGGAAAAATATATATGCGAAAAATATATGCAAATATATATTTTCACATATATTTTTTTTGCGCTAAATATATGCGTGCATATATGTTCACATATATGTGCGCATATAAGTGTCTAGAGATACACAGAAAAGAATTTAACTTGAGTCAAGGAAATAATTTTGAAAAATTTAACTTTCTCGACTTGAGTAAAAAATTCTCAAACTTGGAAATTTTTTTTTCAGTGTATGCCTTACATATATGTCTACATATATGCAAGCATGTATCTCTGCATATATGTCAGCATCTATGTGAAAAATATATGTTGACATATTTTTTTTTGCGTAAATATATGCGCATATATATTATATATGCGACATATATTTGTGACATATATATTTCTCCTTGTGGGAAATTTTACTTGATTCAAGAATTTTTCGTCTTGATTCAAGAAAATGAAACTCTTCAAAATTATTTTCTTGGTTCAAGAATTTTCGTCTTGATTCAAGTTAAATTTTTTTTCAGTGTATGGTCAACGCAAAACGCAAAGAACCTTTCTGAAAATCTCAGCTCAATATTGTTTTATTTGATAATAATTAATACATATCGACTGGAATTTACAACCATCTTTCTACCTGTCAACAAGCCGTGCTGTTTATTTGCAAAAATATAAATTTATTTGACTCGTGAATACATCTGAGATTGTACTTGAGCTATTGCACTTTCGACTATTGTTAGAAATCACCAGAAGGTGGCGTGGTATCTGTTTCTACCAATGTGCATAGTTTCTTTGAAGTAACAGTGGGCTATGTAGATCTAAGTTTTAAAAAATATTTATTCAAAAAATACTATTCATTATGTACTTAGACACTTATAAATTTATACTATCTTTATATAGTTTATTCATATTTTCAATCTTTTATTTTAATT